TTTTAAAGTTAATTGCAGTATAATTTAACAATTAGATGTGGAAATTCTAAATTGTAGGAAGAACTTGCCTTCAATTTTGCAGCGCTTGAAAAGATGCATCTTGATCTAATTGCATGCCCGTGATCAAAAAGCCATCCTACTTCACAGCAAGCAACTATGAACAGAACTGGAGCTCTGACTTTGAACGTGAGTATCGGAAAGAGCAGTTTTAGCGACGACGGAAGAGGCCGCCGGAGTGACGTTTATCCCGATGTTCGAAGACGAACGACGATTGCAATGAAGAAAACGCTGCTGTTGAAGGCGAGAGAAGCAGCGATGGTGTAGAATTCCCGGAGAAGAAACGACGGAGGACGTCAAGGCTCTGTTCTGACAGATAACACAGCTGGGAGAAGCGAACGTCATAGAAATCCTACAAAGAAACTTTTAGTAACAGTTTGTAAATTCAAATGAAACCTGCGAAACTCTCCCGTTTCCTCAGCCGTAGCCTCGCCGGAGAGGAAGGAACCGGAGAATTCTGAAAGAGAGAAGAAAGAAACAGCGAAGGAAGTTTATCAGAAGACAAATGGAGAAGAAAATAGCTTTTTATATGAAGAAAACAAAAATGCCGAATTAAACTCAAATGTCACGTGACCTGCTTGTGCTTTAAACGACGTCGCTTTGGACATCTGTAAACACATCTCTAACTTGTCCACGTGTCAGTCTGTCAGATGACGTTGCTCTGGCCTGGCCCAATAAACTATCATTTTGGACCGAGCCCAATAAGCAACCCTTTTGGACCTTCCTGGCCCAGTAAGCTCCAACTTTCAAGGGGCAAAATGGTAAAACCACATATAAATTTTGCCAAAATTAATAAATTCTAGTGCATTTTTTAAATAAAAAAATTTAGCCCTCTGTATATATATTTTTTAATTAAGCAATTAAATTACTTAAAAATTATTATATTACAAGAGATTTTGATGGATTGAAATTACTTTAAAATATATTTTTAAAAAAATAAATAATTTTCGAACCGAACAAATTTTATTATTTTTTGAAACTTCGAAAATAATCGTAAAAATATATATATAGATCGAGTCACGTTTTTTTTTTTTTTTTTTTTTTTTTTTTTTTTTTTTTTTTTTTTTTTTTTTTTTTTTTTTTTTTTTTTTTTTTTTTTTTTTTTTTTTTTTTTTTTTTGTGAAATAATATTTTAAAGAATAATAGAAATAAATAAGATATGGTTCCAATATTGTAGGAGAGTTATGTGACCGACAATAGGATGTGACGTGTCAGCAAGAGATTGGACAGAGCATGAACTTCGAAGGGATCTTAATTATTCATCAATTTCTTGCCATTCTCTAGATCTATGCATTAATTCTCACACCGACACCACCTTTTTTTCCACAATTATATGATACTTTTTTGGGAAAATAAATAATTTCAATTTTATATAATTTTTTTAATGACGAATTTTTAGAGTTAGTTCAATTAGTAATTATTGTCTGGTTTGACTCATTGTTCTTTGTCAATCTCACAAACCTCAGAGAATCACGACATTTTACCTTTAAATTTTACTTAGATATACTAATTAATAATTGATTTTTTTTCTTTATTTGTATTTATTATTATTTTACTAAAAATATTATTTTTCAAGTTTTGGTACAAATTTATTTTCGTCGTATGTGGGTGTTTATTCCCCCGTTAACTTGCTTCGGTGTCATATTATTAAATTTTTTTAGGTATAATTTACACAAGGAAACAAAAAAATAAATCATTTTAATTTTGAATTTTACATTTGTTGATTTCAATCTTTTATTTATTTTTTCATAAAATTGAAATGGTATGTTTAAATTGTAATAAACATATGACCATATTGTCTTCTTAGGCTTTCCCTTTCGGACTTCCCCTTAAGGCTTTAAAAATGGTACGTGAAGGTTTCCACATCTTATAAATGGTGGTTTGTTCTCTTCCCCAACTAATGTGAGACATCAAAATCCACCCCCCTTTTCGAGCCCAACGTCCTCTATGGCACTCTTTCCTTCCTTCAATCGGTGTGGGACCGCCCCAAATCTACCCCTTTGGGACATAGCATCCTTACTGGCACCCCGCCTCTTGTCCTACCGCCTTCGGGAAACCGCGAGAAGGCTGGCATATCATCCGATATCTGATTTTGATAACATTTGTAACCACCCAATGGGTCGTTACAACTTATTTAATTTGAAAAATAAATTAATAAATAAAACATTAAAACACATTATCTTTGCTTGTAGAATAAGCTTGGCCTAAAACCTAAAAAGAATTAAATTAAATTACTTCGTATTTTCAGTGTGTTAATATGTTGTTGAATATTTAATAAAAAAAATTTATATTTAATAAAAAATTGTTTTTGTATATATAAAATTGAAGGGTTATAAGTATGATGTTTTTGAATTTTAAAAATTTATTAGATATAAAATTAAAATTTTGAGGTTAAATTTATAATTTAATAAATAAATAAAAGCAAAGAGAGAAAATGTAGTATTGGAATTACAATGGAAAAATACTATGAAATTTGACGTTGATTATACAAACAAAAAACAAAATCTGCAAAAACAAGTAGAATTCTTATGTACTTCAAACTCTTTGATCTCATAATTTGCGATGAAGATCTCTGGAATCTCTCTGTTCTTTTTCACCTCAGGACCGGCGAGCAATCAAATGTGCGTTCTCTGTTTCGATCGATCGAAGAACTGCTGAACACGATGAACAGATTGATTTAGCCAAATCGATTTAGGCAACAATTACAGCGAAAATCAGAGGCCTCCATTGGCGGAATCGGAAGCTTCTTTTTCTATATCCTTGTAGTTTTCCTGAATCTAGCTTGAAACAGAGCATATTATTCAACACAAAAGTCTGAATTCCTTCGAACACATAAAATCGATTACAATGTAAACGCCTAGGATTTCACACCGTCATCGAAATTCTTCGAGTAATTAACCGAATCGTATTTGAAAGTTTGAGGAAGACCGACGCGATCGGAGCGAATCAGTTTGCGGAACTCAGACCTAACCTTATAGAAAAGATGTCTGAAACTACCTCTGCAATTAGATCTAAGAGATTTTGTTTCTTCATCGTTCATTTCCAGATCTCGAGCGAAGGCAGCCTTGCGAGAGAGGATCCAGGACCATCCCCAATCCCACCACTTCCGGAGCGATTTGCCGGTGTGATCGCGCAAAGAAGACACCGATTTAGATCTATGAAACGACCAGGAAGTAACAGGCGAAGAAATCGGCTGGATCTTGAAGGAAATCGAAGAAAGCCTTCGGCGTAGCGTCTGAGTGGAGTCGGGCTGCGAGACAGGGAGCGCGTCGTTGAGAGGCCGCGTAGGAAGAAAGCTCCGCCGTGGAATGGAAGTCATGGTGATGAAACTGAGGCCGCGGCGGCGGAGGGATTGGCGCCGGTGATCGGAAAGAAGTAGAGAGAGAGAGAGAGAGGGAGAAATGAGGCGTGTTTGGCAATGAGAGGAGAGTTTTATTCAGTTTTGGCGGGGGGTTGCAGATGATTATCGTGGGGTCCGCTCTGATACTGTTTGAAAATTACTGTTACTAACTTCATTTTTTAATGACCGTAAAAGTAAAAAAAAAAAAAAAAAAAAA